CTTAGGAATTAACCTAATCAAGGAAGTGAAAGACCTCTACACTGAAAATTACCTCACTCTCAAAAAAGGAAATCAAGGAGAACATCAGAAAATGGAAAGATATCATGTTCCTGGATAGGTAGAGCCAATATAATCAAAATGGCTATATTTCCAAAACTGACATATAGATTTAACACAATCCCAATCAAAATACTAACAGCAGCACTGGGGATGTAGCTCAGCCGCACAGTGCCCGCCTGGCAAACACAAGGTCCTGAGTTTGATCCCCAGTACCAAAAAACAAAACAAAACAAAGCAAACAAGCAACCCCCCCCCAAAAAAAACTAACAGCATTTTTCACAGATCTAGAGAAAACAATCCAAAAATTCATATGGAACCAGAAGAGACCCAGAATAACAAAAGCGATCCTGAGTAAAAAAGTCAAAGCAGAAGGCATTGCAATGCCAGATTTGAAGATACACTAGAAAGCTACTGTGATTAAAACACCAGGGTATTGGCAGAAAAACAGACATGAGGATCACTGAAACAATATAGGATGCAGAAACAACCGCAAGCACATTCAATTAGTTGATTTTTTGACAAAGGGGCTAAAAATTTATGCTGAAGGAAAGATAGCCTCTTTAATAAATCGTGTTGGAAAAACTGGCTATCCACATGCAGATTGAATCTAGGCTCACATCTCTCACCATATACTAAACTAAAATCAAAATGGATCAACAGACTAAATGTTAAAAGAGAAACAACCTGATGGAAGATAAGATAGGTAAAAGCATAGGGAAGGACTTCTTGAACAGAGCCCCAATTGCACAGGATATAGTGCCAAGAATGAGCAAATGGAATCATATCAAAGTAAAAAGTTTCTGCATTAAAAAAAAGAACAATGACCAAAAATAATGACCAACAGAGTAAAAAGAAAACCTACAAAATGGGGGGGAAATTGCCAACTATTCCTCAGAGGACTAGTATCTAAAATATATAAAGAACTCAAAAAAATAGACTCCTAAAACAACAGATTCAATCAAAAAATGGTCTAGTGAAATAAATAAGACACTTCCAGAATTAGTACAAATGGCCAGTAAATACATGAAGAAATGCTTAATATCACTGGCCATTATAAAAATTCAAATTAAAGCAAAACTGAGATTCCATCTTACCCCAGAAAGAATGGCCATCATCAATAAATCAAATAATAAATGCTGATGAGGTTGTGGGGGAAAAGAACCTTTCTACACTGTTGGTGGGAATGTAAACTATTATAATCACTATAAAAATCAGTATGGAAGGGCCGAGGATTTAGCTCAGTGCTGCCGCTGCCTGCCTTGAAAGCGCAAGATCCCGAGTTTGATCTCCAGTGCCAAAAAAAAAACCAGTATGGAGAGTCCTCAAAATACTAAAACTAGAAATTCCACATGACCCAGCTACTCCCCTTCTAAGTATCTTCCTAAAAGTTAAAGATATCATATTACAGTGATGTGTATATGGTAAATGTATACCCATGTTTATAGCAGCACAATTCATAATAGCTAAATCTTGGAAGCAGACTATATGCCCATCAATGGATGAATGGATAAAGAAAATGTGGTATTTTTACACAATGGAATACTACTCCACCATAAATAAACTTGAGTCATTTGTAGGAAAATGGTTGCAACTTGAGACCATAATGTAAAGTGAAATAAATCAGAAACACCAGCTTAAATATCACATGATTTCTCATATGAGAAACCCAAATTATAAATAAAGAGCAAAATAAAAGAGAGATAATAGGAAGTAGGGAGCTAGATCTTTCTCAAATGGGAAAGGATCAAGAGATGGCAGAGGGCTAAGGGGGGGAAAGGTAGGGATGAAAAAATGAATTAAGATGTTTTATGTACATGTACCAACTCTACACAAGGAATGTAAATATTATGTACTACAAATGTACTAAAAAAAAGTCTACTTCCATTCAGCATGATGGTGCAGGCTTGTACTTCTAGCTTGTACTCCTAGTACAGCCTTAGGAGGCTGATGCAAGATTGCAAGTTTGAGGCCAGCCTGGGCAGCTTAGTGAGACCCTGTCCCAAAGAATAAAAAGGGCTCTAGGTTCCATCCCCAGTATGGCGGGGGGGGGGTAGTATATTTCCAACCTTTAACAACTCCTTTGGCATGCTATCTGTGTGCATTATTAAAAGGATGTCTTCCCAAAGGCTTATGTATTTTATATTTGTAGACTGTTGAGAAGTACCTTTTTATGTACCAAGTGCTGTCCTAAGAGCTTTAATCCTTTAAATAATGCCAACAAAATTGGTTCTGTTATTATCCTCATTTACAGATGAGAAAATGAAGGCATTGAGAGTTTAAGTAATTTCTTCAAGGTCACACAACTAATAAATGAGGATAATTCAAACCCAGATAGTCTGGATGGGTCATAGCCATATATTAAACCACTATGCTGTGCTGCCTCCCCAAAGAGCCCGAAAAACAGATATACGTAAGTGTCTTAGTTACTTTTCTCATTGCTGAGACAAAATACCCAATACCCCCAAGTTAAGGGAGGAAAGGTTTATTTTGGCTCACAGTTTGTAGAGGTTTCAGCCTATAACCAGCTGGCTCCAAGGCAGGGTGGCATGGCAGAGGGGCATCACAGAGAAATAGATCAGGAGCAGAAGGTGGCAAAGCAACAAAAGTAGTGAAGAAGCAAGCAGAGACAAGCCTCTTTCTGTGCCTTATATACATCCTCTAAGGGCAGGTAGCACTCACACCCTTAATCCTAGCATTGCACCATGAATCAATCCTAGCGTCACTACACTTTAGATCCAGACACGTCTGGAAAAGCTCTACCTATGACCGCATGAAGCTTTGGGGGTAAGTCTAGACACAAGCCATTACATTGTGTACTTTATATTATTTTACATATAGATATACATTTTATACATACATTTTTCTTTGGTCCTTTTTTTTTTTAATACTGGTAAAATCTGGCGCCTCTTGCCTGGTAAGCAAGTGTGCTACCAATGAGGTACATCCCCAACCCGATGTATTTTTTAATTTTTAATTTTTCTTTTGTCTTTTTCATGTGTAAGAGTGTGTGTATGTGTATGTGTTTACAC